TGAATTACTCCTCACCTTACAACGGTAGTGATAAATGCTGCTTCCCATTCTCATGTGCTAGATTTGGGTCCGCCCCGGGTATTTCAGTTTCCCAGTATCACCCATATCTGGGAGATGTCGGACGGAAGATCTAGCAACCCCATACGGACTGAAACGAGTCTATAGGAACCCGCAGAAGTCGTTAACCACATTTTTGAAGCGTCAAAAGTGCCACCATGCTTTTTCGGTAGAAGCCAAATTAAATAAACAAATTCATCTGATGCTACCACAATTTGGTCACCCGTCTGCTTGATCTCGTTCAGTCCTGTGAGTTCGATACATATCGATAGGACGACAATCGTTCGCCAGGGTCTTTTAGCCGCTGCGTCTAACCTTGAGATGGAACAAGTTTCATCTTCGGCGACTGTCGTCCGCAGCGCTGGAGCGGCTACAAAAAGTCGCAACTGTTTATGAGGCTTTTAGTATGAGTGGTCTATAAAGCTTTGATAACTGGATATATTAGTTAATAAATAATCAACTTTAGATAATTCTAGTCGAGATTTACTTTCCCAGTCTAGATATTCGAAATATCCTAACATTAAAGTTAAATTTTCTGCGGTCATAAATCAAAAGCTTAGGTATCTACTTAGCTTAAAATCTACAACGTATAAATGCATCTTCATGCATTAGATTAACTTGTTAAACCATTTCAAATACGCATCTGAGTTCGATGTCACCTTGTTGAGTAAAAAAACTACGTTTTTTAGTTAGTAATACTTTTCATTGTTTGACAAGCAACAAGCGAGTTATTCATTTAATAGTCATGAGCATTGCCAATATTCCATTATTTTGTAAGGAACGATGTAGAACTTAGTTCATAAAAGACAGCGTATTACCACTAATTAGAATTGTATTTGTCATTATTGTTTCAATCACCAGTGAGATGCACACAAGCACGAAAACTGTTTAATATTCTCCGGGAATTGTTAAAATATAAACAACGTTTGCATGTTGATAGTATTTCAAAATTTGTGATTTAGGGGCAATTTGATCCTAATAATTTTTTTCAAATGAATTAAAGGTGATTTTTTCATTCTTTAATTATCACAGAAAACTCACAACTATGTTTATGAACTGAGTGGTTTGAAAACACTTGCCTCAGAAAGAAACATTCGTTTCGTTATGCGAATTTTAATTCAAATAGAAATAGTAGTAGTAGTAAAAATCTTTATTTCTTAAGAAAAGGCTATCGACCTATGGGTATTTCTGACTCGGGTTAGTTACAAAGTTTTATATGGGAAATCAATAGGAAACGTATATAATGTATTTAATAAKTGTGTATACAGGGTGACTTTTTAAAAGTGTTACAATGCTATATTTTAGAAACAGTTTGCATTATACACATTTATAAAAAATTTGGAAAGTAATWRATAGATAGGGGGACATGTTTTAACATATATTTTATTATTATTCTACTCAAGCGCCCTCTTTGAGAGGCAAAGGCAACTTTTTAATTTTAAATAGAATTATATATTATTGACTCTGAAATTTGATTCTACATGAAAAACTACATATGTGTGTTCACTCATCTGATTACGCAAGTATCGATAATTTAAGTTTTATTTAATTTAAATACAATTAGGTAAACATGTTTAAGTCAGTGGTTTTTCGAATTTTCTTTCGTATCCATGGCAACGCGTGACCTGCGAGTGTTAACTGTTAAGTTATTGTAATTAAACATGGAAGAAAATTGTAATATGGAAGTTGACATGTTGTCAATTTTGGGAGAGTGCAGAAAGAATTACAGAGAAGCTGGGCTATTGCGGGCGTAAAGATTTCCTAACAATCCAAACCCCACATGGCGTTTAAAAGGTTAGAAACCAGAGGTCGCACTACTGGCAGTTTAAGGAAAAAACGCGAAGACGGAAATGCATTGCAACAAACGAAAATCTGGGGGTAGGAGTTTGGCTCACGGGGCAAATGGAGGATAACAGATTTTTGGAAAACATTTTTTTTATGAAGCTACTATTTCCAACTGCGGGCAGATAAATTACAGATAACATTTACCATGTTGAAAGGAATTTTTAGAATATTTTTTTAAATGTTAACAGATATAACTTGTACTATTGGGCGGCGGGAAATCCTTACTGGATCAGAACTGTGCCAAAGCAAGCAACATCTCTGGTCGCTTGATACTTGGTGTGGTATAATTGGGGATAGAATTATTGGTTCCCATGTTTTTGAAAGGCATTTAAATGGAAATATCTACACCAACTTTTTAAGAAACAGTTTACTCTAGGGATGGTCGGTATTTAACGTATCCGCCAAAACAATAGTGTTCCAAACGTGTAACCTGAAACCGTAGTTACAGCTAGCCGAGTTAACCGGTTATTCTTCAACCATCTCATAAAACCGAAAAAGTGGTTCTCACTTCACATCAGCACAGAACTTTGAAATTATTATTTTTTACTTCTCAACTCCTACAAACTACTAGCAAGAAAACCGGAGTACAACTCATGCGGAGCCGTCCTTTTCTTTTTTTTCTGTAATTCACACAGTAGATTACACTTAAATAACACATTTAACTGGAAAAAATACCACAATATATTTTAACTTGGAAATTAATTAAATGCACTAAATATTCCGGTTTTAATATGAGTTCAGACAACACTTAATGTGAGGGGTCATCAGGAAAAAACCGTAAATTTTGGATAAATCTTCGCCTTTTTATTGAAAATTCATAGAATTTATCTGATAAAGTTATTGGCTATTCGAGAATACGATTTTCGAACCATAGGTCTCTCGAATTCGAGAATTGGGCGCCAGTAGACTTTGATACCAAAATAGTGTTCAAATCTTAAAATGCATTTTTAAACAAAATTCAATCACTTTGTATCTATTTTACCTTCATAGATGTTTTTGCTGATACTAAGCTCGCTAATTTGATTTAGATTCAAATATAAATGATTAAATTAAATATAAATGATGTAAAATAAGGTGAAAAAAGCAAATATTTTTTTCGACGTTTTACATTAACTATCAATTACATCTTTTTTTCAGGTTTAATCGCAGTCAACAAGACCCTGGATGAAGTTCAAAAATGGATCGCCGAGCGCATGAACAAAGATCAAAAGATCGGACAGGCCAGTGGAAAGTTACGCAACTTCATCATCGAACCTTTCGTACCTCACAAGGAAGAGGAAGAGACATATGTCTGCATTTACTCGCATAGACACGCTGATAGTATTCTATTTTACCACCAAGGTAAATCTAAATGTTTAAATACTTAATACAATACGCAAAACTGCTATAGTTAACGGTTAAATATGTGACTGCATATAAAATCATTTTTGATATTATTGAAACATTAACTTAAACAGTGCTACTAAATCATTGAACAAAATTAGCAGTATTTACCAAAGTGGTGGATTTTTTGCTTATTTAAATGAGTTTGCAATAAAGTGTAATATTTTACAGGTGGAGTTGATATTGGCGATGTAGACAGTAAAGCCGTAAAGCTCGACGTTCCTGTTGGTGAAGCACTGAAGGAAGAAGATGTCTTAAATGTGTTATTAGCGCAAGTTAAAGCAGCTAAGAAAAGCTCCATTTCCAAATTCATTATCAACCTGTATCAGTTATACGTCGATTTGTATTTTACCTATCTGGAAATCAACCCGTTGGTAGTAACAGATGAAGCGATTTTCATTCTGGATTTGGCCGCTAAACTAGATGCAACAGCAGACTTTATGTGTCGCCCTAAATGGGGGGAAATTGATTATCCTCCTCCTTTTGGAAGGGATGCCTATCCAGGTAAATTATGCAAATTGATCTATTTTATTGTACGATACAGTTTTTCAATTATACCAGCATAAAATGAATTCTTTTTTCACAGAGGAGGCTTATATTGCTGATTTAGACTCTAAATCTGGTGCTTCTTTGAAATTGACGATTTTGAACAGGAAAGGACGCATATGGACTATGGTCGCCGGTGGTGGAGCCTCAGTAATTTACAGGTATTTAAGAATATACAGTCAAAGTTCAAAGTACATGTGGCGCAGACCCTCCTCCATTCGCTCGAGTTGCCAGTGGAGAGTAGTATTGCCGGAGTTTCTCTGCAGGAATGGGAATCGCGATCCTGTCCCTGCATTTTGGACGATTGGTGGATGCGCAAAAAACTCCAACACACCATACAAAATTTAATGATAAACGTGTATGTACCCCCTGTATGAACGCGATTCTGTATAGTCCGCATTGGCCCAGAACTCAGGTGCAACGTACCGCGGTTGGCCAACAGTCTTGTCTCTGGGAGCGGACAATAGTTCCTCGGTTTTCGGGAAAAAAACGGAAGGAATTTATTTTCGTTTTTGTCCCGAATTCGACGGTGAAAGAAAATTTTATAAAGTTTTTACAAAGCCATATTTTTATCTTGTATTTTTTCGCGTAAGACCTTCAGATCGTCAGCATTTTTAAGTGGAACTCTTCAATATAGAGCGTTTTTGAGCAGAAAATAAAGCAAAAAAATCAGTCAAAACTGAAAAACCAGATTTTTTAACAGTCTTTTTTGACAGTACAGTCTTCAGAGGTATTGAGTGTGACGAGATTTCAAAATAATCTGTTATAAACTATCTTTCTGTTCGATTTTTGATAGAAAATTATTTGATTTTTGTTCCAAATTCGAAGCTGGAAGGGGATTTCTAAACTTTTAAGAAAGCGACTAAGGATAGCATTCGAAATTTATTTCATATTTTTTCGCGGAAAGTTGTCAGCATTTTAAATGAAACTTTAGAAAATTGAGCCTTTCGTAGAAAGAGTAACTTGGGAGAAAACAAGGAGAAGAGTACAACTGGAAAATTCTGAAATTTTTAATAAATAAGAAAAAAATTATTAATAAATGGCCCTTAAAATAAATCTGAAAACGAATCAAAAAGTCAGCAACTTTTTTCCAGCAACGGAACTGAGTTACTGCGCCGGCCCGTTGGGTTGCGTAACACTGCGCCAACTCCTAAAAATTAACTGAGTTACCCAGGCCTAACTGAAAAGTCTATGCATATTTTTTTGTTGTTCGCGAGCATGTAATCGATCTCGTTTTTTGTTTTGCCGTCGGGGCTTTTCCAAGTCCACTTCATCTGTACGGGTTTTTTTTTAAGAGTTTTAAGGCAGAATAAATGTTCTTTCTTTAAGAGATCAACCAACATTTCTCCTCTGTGATTTCTCGCACCCAAACCAAAAGTTTCAATGTTATCATAGTCAGTTGCGTCTCTTTGCTCGATTTTACAGTTGAAGTTGCCACATGACCTTGTAGTGGGTTTTGCATGCATCAATCGCTTTGGATAAGTCCTCGAGAAAAGTATCAATTTCTTCATCATCCGCATTACTTGTTGGTGCATTTTCGTGAATAAACCGTATACTGTATCGTTTGTTGAGTTTAAGCACCATGTAAATGACCCTGTCAGAGACCGCTTTCACCTCTGCTATCAAATGTTTCCGCTTCAGCTCTATTGATGAGAAATGCTACACCTCCTTGACCCTTTTGTCTAGTGCCATTCTTCCGGTAATGTATATGACCTGATTTCCGGACAGTGGTTTCCTCATCTGCTTCTTTTTTCCTTTAGGTCCTTTTTTAGTAGTAGTATTTTTATATATGTTCAAATTCTTCTTCTAGCCTGATGAGATATTCGGGATTTTTCATTGTTCTGATATTGTATGTAGCCAAGTAGATGTTTGTGGCATTATGTGATTTGTGTGGTTTACTCCGATTAATCGAATTTTTGCCCCCCAAAATCCGAATTGACTCAATGTCAGTGTGAGATTTCGTGCGTTTAACACTCCTCACCTGGAGAATTTTTTTAAATTCGACATTTCGGCATATATTCACCTGAAAAGGTTCTGACATGTAAAACGCATCGCTTTTCGAGCGTCTTGGCGAATAGGGTTATGTTATCAGCCGCCCACTCTGGGTCAGACGCTACAGTGATGGTTTTGGTCCGCCCCGAGGATTATTTCCTCGGTACCACCACCCATATCTATCCGCCACCTGGGGAGGCGCCTATGGGGGACCATCAACCCCACCAGAGTTAGTTTTTTTAATCTAGTTAGTAGTAGTTTTTAAAAAATCCCTAAAGCAAATTGCTTTTAGTAAAAATAATCTGTTTCTTTCAGTGACACAATTTGTGATCTTGGTGGTACTTCGGAATTAGCGAACTATGGCGAATACTCGGGCGCTCCATCCGAGCAACAAACTTATGAATACGCCAAAACAATTCTATCATTGATTACTCACGAACCTCATCCTCAAGGGAAAGTACTTATTATTGGCGGTGGTATTGCCAATTTTACCAACGTCGCTGCAACATTTAGGTAAGTTTAACACATACGTGATTTTATTTGGTATTTTATAATTTTTGATTTTGTCAGAGGCATCATCACTGCATTCATTGAATTCAAAGACCGAATGATTGAACACAACATAAAAATCTTTGTTAGAAGAGCCGGTCCTAATTACCAGGAAGGTTTAAGGAGAATGCGAGAAGTTGGACAGAGTCTTGGTAAGTACTGGTTATTACATATACATATAGAGTCAATAAAATTCATGACATTCACAAAAATGTTTAATCGAGTGTCTCAAAAAGTGACGTATTTCCGATCATTCCCATTTTATATTAAAAGTGCAATTTTACATTGTTTTTATAGGAATTCCTTTATACGTCTTTGGACCGGAAACGCACATGACTGCCATATGTGGAATGGCATTGGGAACTAAACCAATCCCGCAAGAAAATAATGTCGAATTTGCTACAGCCAATTTCCTACTACCCTCCGGCGATAAGCAACCCATAAAGAAGAAGCCTGAGGAAGTTGAGGCTGCAGCAAGAGAAACTGCCATTCAGGTTGCTGCGGCTCACGCGGCTGCCAGAAAATCTGTAAGTGTAAGTGATATGCTTTGTTGCTTTTGTGCTGTTTTCTATTTTTTTTTGTTTACTGAAAGTGGGATATCGTTCTGATTGAGAAGTTTAGAGGTGATTAAAAAATGCGATAATAATATATAATCATGTATAATCAAATAAATGATTGTACTGAAATCAATTAATTACTTATGTATAAAATAGGTTTTTTTAAATCATGCATTATCCACTCTGGCTTGTTCTGCATGAATATTTCCCGACCACAGCCGTTAATTTTCCGCTCTCCTATAATAAAACGCTTTTTAAAAATTAGCGTTGTGCTTATCTAATGCTAATTTACTTAGGCCTGCTTTCCCATAAAAACTATTTAAAAGAGGCAATTATCGTTACACTTAATTATCACACACTAATTATTGTAAAACGTTACAAAAAGAACACCGTTATATAATTGGTGAATTTATGGGTTATGTACAGGGTGACCCAACCTTGTGGCATACAGAAGAGTTAAAAAAGCGTACTTTCATATAATTCGGGTTTGAATTTTCAGGTGTTTTCTTTTGTAACTGACCTTATTGTTGAATTATTTATTTTCTTGCATAACAAGAACATTAACAGATTTGCCAATTTGTTTCTTTTTCTGAAATAACGCTTTTTATTTAATCCGTATTTGTATACTTCGATAAAACGTCCGTTAATTTAAATGTTTCTTTATATTTTTAAGGGAGTTAATGGACTTGTTAAAAAAGTTTACTTAATGTTAAAAATAAATTTTACATGTTATTTCGTTAAATAGTGGCAAGTTTAAAAACAATCCAATAAATAAAATGCGTTTGTTTCGATTTCGGAAAACAAATGTCACGTGAAACATGAAGGAGCTTTTTCTCTCCATGATGGAGGAGATGTTCTCTTTATTCACTTTTCCCATTTCTAAGACTGTAACTAAGAAACAAAGGATGCAATTATTGTTATAATGCGAATCCATCACTGTTGTAGTGATGAAATGTAGAAAAAAAATATTGTGTTTATCTTTTTCCAACCCATGCATACATACTTAAATACAGAAGTATGGACCTTAATAACTTTAATTTATAGGTAATTTATTGAGAAAAAAATCAAATTTTCCAAGTGTCGACCGACGAGTGAAAACTATTTGGATAACTTTTACTTTTAACGCCAATAAATATCCTACACGAACACTCTTATGTGGGCAAATTTTATATTATAATCAATGACTCGTCGTGATTTTTTACTAGTAGTATGCTAGAAAGTATTAAATTGATATTTAATGTAGGTGCAAGTTTCGAGTTTCGCCAACCTCGGGCGCCCCCCGGAGTGTTTTCGAGCCTATTAGCTCTCATTAGCTGGGTTTAGGTCGAAATTAGCTACCGCGAAACCTTCACTTGAATCACCCAATGCAAACGCAAAGGGAGGGAAGTATTCTAAACCCAGCTGATGAGAACTAATAGGCTCGAAAGCGGCCCTGGGGGTGCCCGAGGTTGGGGAACCTCGAAGCTTCCTCGACCGAAAGATTCTCGCCCGCGGCTGATTATTATTCCTTGTCCACGTAGTCAATGCTCGTCAAGTCACCGTCACCTGAGCTTCTGTATGGAGGCCCAATATAAACGTATACTTCACTACTTTGTGTTGTTGTTTAATAGTGCATGGATCCGTTGCACACCAACAAAACTAATGTAATCTTGTTAATATATTTCAGAGTTTTTGTCAAAATTTGTCGGCATGTAAACACATTAGCGTTAATTTAATCATTGAATGAAAGGTCGAGAAATGTTTATGTTTGAAGCCCTTCGGAACATATCCCACTTGACAATTATATATTCTTCTTAATCATTTCATCCTTCACTTAATACCTTGATTCTGCATAGTGCTTTATTGGCTATTTTGATCTGAATCTACTTCTAATGTTTCTTTCGCATGTTTAATGTGTAATGATTTACTAACAGAACTATTTTTACTTTACCTTAAAATTGACTATTAACTTTAGTTAAACGTGTATATCTGTAACTCTTCCTGGTCGTTTTTTTTTATTAAAAAATTGTGAAACGAATACTTGAATACATGAATTAGCCTACAAATTCATTTATTTAAAATAACTTTTATTTAAGTGGCATCAATGATAAACGCTTTTTCTGAAAGCATCTTGTCTTCTCTGTGGTGGTTTGGTTTTCTGTCGGTGTACTTAGGAAAAATTGGTTTTATTAAAATAACTAGTATCCCAACTTACGGGTAAGATATAGAATCTTCTTAAGAAAATGCTGAACAATTTAAAATGTCGTCATCAATAGTACTATATTGACTAAAATAAGCATAAGAAAGTTTAATATTTTCTCAAACAAGTTCAATATCAGCTAGTAAATTTGGATGTCTAAATTAATATTAACCTGGTTGAATAATTAATGCTGTATCAAACTTGAAATTAACAAAATTTGATGTCAACATTCTTGAAATATCTCTTAACGTTTAATGATAATTCTCAAGTCAAAGACTACTAATTATAGTTTCAGAAACCACATTTTGCGTTGACATCAAATAGCAGGTTTACTTTGGTTTTCCGAATTTCCGGGATTAATTTTGAATAATTGTTCAAGGAACCAAACCAGATGGAGGTCCATGCCTCATCCCAGGTCAGTTACCACCTCCATTTATTATTAGACTGTATTATTTTTGTATTTCTTTTATTTTTGCTTAAGCATCATCAGCGTCTTGATGGCTATGTTAACGTTGTCATTGAATTATGTTTATTACTAACGGTTCTACTTAAAATAGGGAGATGCAAAAACAACCCCGTTGTTCACCGCTACAACTAAGTCAATCGTATGGGGGATGCAAAACAGAGCCGTTCAATCGATGTTGGACTTTGATTTTGTATGCAGCCGCCAAGAGCCCAGTGTTGTAGCTATCATTTATCCATTTACAGGAGATCATAAACAGGTAATAAAACCAAATTGTTGCCTTGTAATTTCACCTAAAAATTATTGGGATTTTTATCTCCTGCAGTGTACTTTCTACAAAAGTTCCTCTATTGAAAATACTTTATTTTAAAATTGAACAATTAGACCTACAACAAACTCATTCTATGCCTTGCACACTTCTTAACCCAACTGTCAACTTCCTGAAATAATCAAACCCAAATAGCGACAATTTCAAATAAATCCAGCAAAAGTGACTTGTTGGAATAATTTCTTGAGATATTAACAATTGTCTAAATGTTTCTAGAAATTCTATTGGGGCCATAAAGAAATCCTCATCTCAGTATACAAAAAAATGAACGACGCCATGACGAAGCATCCCGATGCTGATGTGTTAATATCGTTCGCATCTCTGCGATCTGCTTACCAAAGTACCGTGGAAACTTTGGAATTTCCCCAAATTCGAACAGTCGCCATCATCGCCGAAGGTATTCCGGAAAATATGACCAGAAAACTAATCAAATTAGCAGACGAAAAAGGGGTAATAACTATCAATGTTTTGTGCAATTGCGTAGTAATTGTTTTGATTTTGATAACAGGTGATAATAATCGGTCCAGCTACCGTGGGTGGCTTGAAGCCAGGTTGCTTTAAAATCGGTAACACGGGAGGTATGATGGATAACATCCTACATTCGAAGCTCTACAGACCAGGCAGTGTTGCTTATGTTTCAAAGTCAGGAGGCATGTCCAACGAACTAAACAACATTGTTTCACATACCACAGATGGAGTGTATGAAGGTGTTGCTATTGGTGGAGACAGGTAACAAATCCTACATTTTCTTAGAAGTTGTTAAAGTCTGGTACTCCATTATGATTTTGTTTATTACTTAAGTAAAAAATATAGCTGGATGAACTACTTACTCTTAAAAGACAATTTTAAAATGCTATTATACTTTTTTATTTCTAGATATCCAGGAACGACTTTTATTGATCACATTATAAGATATCAGGTACGTTTTTAAGTGCTGGTTGAGTACCTCAATTTATATATGTATAATGAATGTTCGCTTTAATTATAGGCTGATGACAATGTGAAAATGATCATCTTACTCGGCGAAGTTGGTGGAACTGAAGAATACAAAGTATGTGATGCCTTGAAGAAAGGACAACTAACCAAACCTCTAGTGGCCTGGTGCATAGGTAAAACAGTGTTTTTCTATTATGTCTGGAGTTGAGGTGATTAAAGCGGGATTTCTTATTCAAGGTACTTGCGCTAGTATGTTTACCACTGAAGTTCAATTCGGCCATGCCGGATCTTCCGCTAATTCTACACAAGAAACTGCTACCTCAAAGAATGCAGCCCTTAGAGCAGCAGGAGCTCATGTGCCGGACTCATTTGATACCTTAGGTTTGCAGATGCAAATCCATATATTTAAAGATCAAAATTGAAGAGAGAATTTTTTGGTTTAGGCGATGTGATCAGGTCTGTCTTCAATGACCTAGTGAAACAAGGAGTTGTCGTGCCGGCGCCAGAAGTGCCACCTCCAACCGTGCCAATGGACTACAGCTGGGCTCGGGAATTAGGGCTAATCAGAAAACCAGCTAGTTTTATGACTTCGATTTGTGACGAGAGAGGACAAGAATTAATATATGCAGGTAACAATAATACTTTTCTGGTTGGTAAGATTAATATTCAGTTGAATGATGAAGCGTGCCTTTAGAAGTTTGAGCGTCACTGTCGCATAGAAGAATGGTTTTCGACATTCACAAAGTTACTTGCAAGTTCACTTAGTCACATGATTTTTTATTTTTTGTAATGTTCCGTTTCATTTTTTAAAGAAATTTAGATTTTGGTATTGACTGATTTAGTAAATTAATTTTAGACGCTCTTGGGTATTTTAATAACATGCAAAATATTAACAATGATGTGTACGTCGTTTCCGTAATCAAGAACTGGTCAGCAAATGAATTTATAAATTTCTGCTAGTGTCCTGGTGGCTTGAAATGGTAGTGGCTGAAACTTTTGCTCAGCTTATTAATTCTGTTCTAATATTTGGTACGTGTTTCGTAAGAATTAACTTACTGACAGTTGTAATGCCAAGATATTCTGCTGGGTTTGTAGGTTTGGAAATATGTCTAATATCTACCTAATGTTCCTAAGCCGGCTTCATGTTTTGCTTTTTTTATATGCTAATGTTTTGCTTTAGTTTTCCAATCCAACTAATTTAGTATTGTTTTCAGATCATTTGTTCGTCCCCTTCTTAAAGTTGGATCTTATTTGGTAAAGCTTATCTTGTCGTGACGTCTTTTATCATTAGAGTTGTTATTCACATGTAGCACCGCTTTGCGACCTCACCCCTAGGAACTTCAAGTGGCTGCTTTGTCAAGTTGTGGTTTAGTTAATTTTTTCATTCTTGGAACCAGACGTAGTTATTTATCCATTTAATAATATTGGTACGTTTGTTTGTTCGTGCATTGTCAAAAAAAGTTTTAGCGTTATATTTAGTACGTCTTCTCCAAATCTGCTTATCACCGAGCTACTTTTCGTTTATCTGCTCTGTTTTTAGTCTAGCAATATCAGTTATCTCGGTTTAGCGATTTTATTAGTCTCATATGGTTCCGATACGCGTCATTCATCTTATTTTTCTTTAAGTATTCGAAGACTTGTCGGGTTTTTTACATGAATGTGAATATGATGCTCAACCGTGTTTTTTATCCGGGCAACAGATGGGCCATTATTCAAAGCAGTTTACTTAGCTCGCCTACTTTTACTCTCAGCCGGAAATCGATTATCTTATTAATAAACTAAATGCATTAAGCTTTTCCAGAACTAAGTAGCTAAAGAAGTTCATAGACTCAATGCTGGTACACCAGTTCTACTAAATTGAAATAATGTTTTTATTCGAATGAATCTAAAAGTGCCATTTTTCGATCAGAAGCTATGATAAAAAAAGAAGCACTTTTCTTTACTGTTCATTTGTTGTACTTGTACGCACATGTGCGCAACAGTAAATCTGACAAATTGGACGTGGTACTGTCATAAAATATTTGGAAGTATTTTCATTAAACAGTAATTTTTACACAGGCATTTTTAATGAATTACGTAGGTTTATAGGGAACTATTGATCATAATTTAAAGTTTACTTACAATTTGTAAATTATAACTTTGTTACAAGTTCAGTCTCAAAGTTGTTCAAATAGTCTATTTTTTGAACTCGCCGATGTTGGCACAAGCAAAACACGATTTTTTTAAAGATTGCAAATTTTATGCAAAATCTTATACAAACATCATACAGTGAAAGCAGCACTTGGATTTTCAACACTAATTATTTCACTTGTATATGCTTACAAAAGTACGCTTTTGAAAAACGTCAAAACATGACAATTTCAAAAATGGCATTGACATCAAATTTTAAATATGAAGTTGACGGCTTTTATTTTTAGCTATTTTTATTTATTATAACTTATTATTCGTGTTATGGTCTTTATTCGAATTAAAAATATTGTTCGATACAAAGGCGAAAAACGGATTTTCGCCCTCGTATCGAAAACTACTATTATTTAAAGATTGATGTTACATCGGTTAGGTGAAGTGTATTTCTTGTTACAGGCATGCCGATCTCTGAAGTTTTACAGAAAAACGTAGGCATTGGTGGTGTTATTTCGTTGCTGTGGTTCCAGAGATGTTTGCCTCCATACGTCTGCAAATTCTTCGAAATGTGTCTTATGGTAAGCAAGTGGTTTAACTCTTTTTCAGCAAATGATGTTGAATTGAATAAACGTTTCTTGTTAACAGGTAACCGCTGATCATGGGCCCGCAGTTTCCGGTGCGCACAATACTATCGTGTGTGCGAGAGCAGGAAAAGATTTAGTTTCCAGTTTGGTTTCGGGATTGTTGACTATCGGAGATCGATTTGGTGGTGCTTTGGACAGTGCAGCTCGTCAATTTAGCGAAGCATACGACAAGGGTAAAAATTGTATAACCAAAGCGAACTCATGTATTATATTTGTACATTTTTCTGAGTAGGTATGCACCCAGCCGAGTTTGTCAATCACATGAGAAACAAAGGCGAACTTATTATGGGCATTGGTCACAGGTAAGAAAAAACCTTAAAAATTTGAAGGTAACTATTGACGACACGATCTAATACCAGAACTGCCGCTTAGCTTAAGGCTGTGCTCTTCTTATAGAAATTCTCATAACAAACAACATTTTTTCTATAGTTTTTTCGAGAAAATGCCGTTTTCTACCACTTTTCACGCTCTGAAATTCACCAATTTCCAAAACAAAACAAAAGACGCCATGAGGGTTCCGATCTTTGCGCCTGCGTTTTGATAAGTTTTGCCAGTTGCCAGTACTATCATTACCACTTTCTTAACCACCCGCGTGTTCAGTTTCCCTGAGACAATGAAACAGAATCAAATTGAACACTCCAGAATTTAAAAGTTGAAAGTAATTTTTTAACAATGGCTGGTCTTGCAACTAATAGTGTGTGTACGTTGTGCGGTGGAGTAACTGCAGTATAACTAAAACTGAATTTCATAAAATGCTGATGGCAGTACGGTGCGCGCGGATTGTGCGCGGGCGATAGCAGATCGTATTCTAAAGCTTTACAAATTTTTCTTTAGGTTCAGTATTAAATATTTAGGTTGTCACACTTTCAGTTAGCACTTTTAAATTGAATAGTTTGTTTTCAGTAACTAATTTTAATAAACTTTTCAGAGTTTATTGCTAACCAAACCAGGTATCTTCTGGATCAATCTTTCAGTTTTTATTAACATTTGTAATACAGGTTGATTCAAAATAGGAAAAAAAAATTATTGTTATTAAAAACTGAGGAATTTGCAAAAAAACTATATCAGAAAGATCGCAACAATGTTTTTCATTAGTATCAATTCAATGCATTTCATTTGTAATTTGCCTAATTAAAATTACGTAAATACCCAAACAGCACAAAGACATCTTAAAGATGTCTAATTAAGATATGTGAGACGTCTGTATATGTCTTGAAGACGTCTTAAAGACATCGGTTGTTACAAAAATGGACGTCTTTAAGAGACGTCTGTCTGTCTTGAAGAGATTACTTAAGCTGTTACTAGGTCCAAAATATGTTTTACTACTGGCAATGCAAAATAAAATGACATGTTTTAATTTCACTATTTTTTTTGTTTTGTCTATCAGGCGTCCTGAGAATCAAACTTTGGATGCCGTCTTCAGTCTACTTGATAGATTTTGCCAACCCTGATTTTTTCGCTGAACCTAAGAAATCAACATCCAAACTGTTAAAAATACTCTTGAGACAATTATTTAGCCCAAAATGATAGTAATGTCCGAGAATTACTGATTCTAGTTCAACAGACCTGACTGTTTGGAAGCAAGATTCTAACCCAAACGCAAATCTTTACAAAAAGGTACTAGTTTTAATAAGTTATTTAAAGCAGTATGGACTATGTTGTGCTTCATTGTCCATCCTGTCAACTTTTCTTTAAATGAGTTATTACTGTTTAAACTATCACAATTTACCGAGCCTATAGTAGGATAATCTCCAAATTCATTGTCGTCTGCTATGTAATGAGTATGCGAATTATGGCTTAAAGACTCACTATTGTTAATGACATTAGGATTTAGTGATTGGTTCACTTGTACCTGCAACGTTGAGTTGTTTGAGCTGCACCCAGGCTGTGAAACGATGTCACCACTAACCGAACTCTCAAGGGAATTGTAAAGTTTTGGTCTTTCGGTGGCTCTCTTGGCCCTCATATGATATTTGTTTAGCTTACCACTTACACATGTTCGCTTCATGTTCGGTTCTGTATGAACCGTAAATTTACAAATTTTGAAACGCTAAACAGCTTAACACAGTGTATAACTAACCGCAATAGACGATTTAATAAACGAAATTAAACGTTTTTACTGCAATCGGATGCACTCCAGCAAGTTTGTCAAAACGTCTTGTGTCAGTCATTTTGAAGACGTCTTATAGTAGACATTTTTAAGTTGTCAAGATGTCTTAAAGACATCTTCAAGAGACATACGACGTTTAGACATAATAACGGCATAAAGAAGACGTCTTGTGCTGTCTGGGTGCCGGTTGCTTCGTAATTATTAAAAATTTCGGTAACCATGGAATTATACAGAAAGTGACAATAAAATAGACAAGGATCAACGGTAAATTCAACAGGATTCGCAAAACGTCGGAACGTAATTTTTCGAAATGTCAATTATTATCCTGATAACCTCGAACTGATCTGTTTACAGTTTACAAATAAACATACGTTTGCGTCTTTAACTCCAAACAAGTTAGTCCCTGTGTAATCACCTTATTATCCACTCTTCTCGAGCAGCTTCTCCTATTCGGTTAATTAACTCCTGATCAATTTGTACCGGCGTTCAGTAAGTCATTATTTTAATGTGTCCTTGTGCTGTGCGTATCTTACATACGTGGTAGGAATGTAGCCCTTCCTCGGTATTTATTTGGTGCCTGGGAAAGTGTCAGTTATTGTGCTCTGAGTACCCCTGGAAGGCCCTGATTCGATTATGTCCAATATTTGTTCCTCTGTGCCTGGAACCCGAACATCTATTGTTGCTATTACGAAAAGAAAATCGTAATTTAAAGCAAAGATCGTAATTTTTCATTTTAAATGCTTAAGTATTCTAATATGCTACCAATTAAAAAAGAAGAAAGTTGAAATTCGATTTCCAACCTTATCTTCTAGAAATTATTAAAAAAAAAATCAATATTTTTCTCGTACTCTCGAAATGAGCCCGTATTACCCCTTAAAAGGAATTACGGCAATTTTTAGTCACTCTGTATACTGAAATAGGTAGAATAGCAGGTAGTTATTAATATTCAACCATTTTTACATTTTCAAGTTTTTTAAATACATATTTTCCACTACCAGCAGCTAAAATACAAATCTGGGTGCAAATTTTAATATGTTGTTTATGTTTAAACTAAATTTTAATATGTTGTTCATCTGTCTTATACGCTCGGTATATACAGGCTGTACCAAACTAAGGACGGACCATTGGTTACTTTGTTATTAGTGGAGATACAGTCTTGGTTTAAATGGCAAAGAGTTGTATTTGTTTACGGTGGTTGCTATGGTGATACTAAAAAAATTGAACATCGCATTGTAAAGATAGTAAAGAAATACACTTATTTTTAAATGGAACCCCCTGTATATTAGCGCACAAAATTGAAGTCAATTTAATTCTACGCAAAAAAACTTCAGTAACATTTTTTATAAAATGACAAGTTTTAAAAATATTAAATAGTTTTTACTTCTAATTACCTGAGCGTATAATGGGTGAACTTCGTTTGCCAAATTAATAATTTGACAACGTTGAGTAACGAAATGTCAAACATTTCAAATTTAAGTAATGAGTATGACATTTCTATTTATTTTAACTGCGCTGAAGTATTTGAAAATGCGTTTTTCCCATGAAGAAAAATGCGATATGTTAGAATCGTACATAATATCTAACAAAAATAGTACCAGAGTATTAAAAAATGATTAAGAAAAACTATGAAACTTTTTTTGCATCAACGGTTCTAAAGTTAGCCAAAAACGGGTTTTCGCACTTTCTTTAATTATTTAAACATTGTTCCACAGCAGGAAATCGCGCTTAAACTATTGTCCCAAGATTCTGACATCCTTCCAATAATCTTCATCTATTGAGTGCCCGGAAAAAATCTAATCCGAGTGTATCATTCCTTTTAAGGGGCGTTAGGGGCTCAGAGAGTACGAGAAAGAAACTTCTAAAATTATGAGGAAATGCTTCAGTAACATTGCAGGAGCTGTAAAAACTTACACAAGCAAATGGCTAGACAATGGACGATTGGCTACGGGAATTGACACAGATAGTGGACGATCTTGAGATGCTCGGGTTCCAGACCTAGAGGAGCAGGTGTTGAGATAATTGCAGTAGACCCTTCCAGGAAAACGCGTCGCATTGCACAACAACTGACACTTCCAGGCACCGGTTAATTGTCCCGAAGAAGGGCTACATTCCTACCATGACTGTAATATACACAGGAAACTAGGATACATTAAATTTCTGATCTTCCGAACACCGATACAAATTGAGCAGGAGTCAATTAACCTAATAGGAGAAGCTGCTGAAAATGTGAGACTAGACTGCTGCCAAGACAACCAAACAAAAAAGATGTTTGGATTTACTCGCTTAACCATAATATGCAATAATATACAAGGAGTTACTAACTGGTAAAACAAATCACCCTGTATACATTCATTTGGCATGAAAACTTGCCCAACAGAAGTAAAAATGGACGAAGGTCAGCGTTTTTTTGCAAAACATTTTCTCTTTCTTTTATATTATTTTATATAAACATAAAAAGTATTAAACTCGCATAGAACTAACACATTACTTTTAATTTTTTTCAGAGTTAAATCGATCAACAATCCAGATCAAAGGGTTTCCATTCTTAAGGACTACGTATTAGCCAACTTCCCTGCTACGCCATTATTGCTCTATGCCCTTGAAGTAGAAAAACTCACTACTAGTAAAAAGCCCAATCTTATTCTCAATGTGGACGGATGCATAGCCACTTGCTTTGTGGATATGCTCAGAAATTGCGGTAGTTTCACTAGCGAAGAGGCTCAGGAATATATTAATATCGGTGCCATTAATTCTCTGTTCGTTTTGGGTAGGAACGTTTCTATTGGCAGATTTCATACTCTGACACCCATTTTTACTTATAGGTAGGACTATTGGTTTTGTCGGCCACTTTATGGATCAGAAGAGGTTGAAGCAAGGTCTCTACAGACACCCATGGGATGATATTTCCTACGTTTTACCTGAGCAGTACAATAACTAACTGTCCGAAGCGACCTAATTTTTTTATTTAGACAGGCTTTTTATTATTTTACTGTAGGATCTGAAGTATGAAGACATCTAGACGATATTACTTTATTATGATATATGGGTTTTTCATGAAATTTGCAAAACATAAATACTTTTTACGAACTCTCGATACTTAAGAGTTAGAAATGATGTATTTATTGAAAATATTTAAAATGGTAATCAGTAGTATTTTGTCGTTTTGTTAATAGGATAGACGATTGCAAATATACGGCGAAAAACTGCGTTTCGCTCTTTTAAACCTGATTGAAGGAAACTGTATTAACGGAATATTCAGCTTTGCGGCCTCAAATTAGAATAAAGAAATTGAAAACTGTTTATATATTTTTGTATATGTTTTAATGCACTGTCTTTAAAGGATTTTAATGTTAGATACTATTAGGTATAAGAAATTGTTGACTTTTGTAAACGGCACTTTTCGATTGGTTTATAATAATTAATATATATTTTTCTTTAAAATAAATCGATCATTTAGTTCCTTAGATTCGAACTGGAATCGCAGTTGTGATTGCGGGTTACACATCACTTGTTTTGTGAATTAATTTCGCATTTTTTGATTGAGCACCCAACAAATAGTTGTTACAGTTTGATCCTGAGACATAATATTCAAAACCGAAAAAGGGTCTTATGGTTTATTACATACCACGTTAGTGTAAATTGTAGAAATTAAAATCCAGCTATTGCTTCGGTAAAAATTAACAAACAATTTACAAATGACTGGTAATTATAAATTACGTGCATTGTCAGCACCTGTACTGCATCATAAGAACGCAGCAATATCTGCTCATTTAACATCGATCTAATAATGTAAGTTTCTCACCTCAATATAGGCTAATTACTTTATTAAATTGAGTATTGGAGCAACTTTAACGGATTTTGTATTCAAAGTAATGGGGTCTTTGCACATTTTTCGTTTTTTTTTTGGATATTTTGTTCATTTATGCTCAACTTTTTACTTTTAGAGGAAGACACGACAGTTTAATATCGGCTTGCATGTGGCTGAAACCAATTTTAATGGGTGCTTAGTGGGGTTTAGTTGGTGATTTGAGGAAAATGGCTTATAACTATTGTATGGTGCCGGAGTGTACCAGTACTACGGTGCCTACACCAGACGTTATTAACGTGCCTTTGGACGAAAAACATCTAAAACTGTGGCTTCAACTGGCACGACGAAATGTAAAAGTTTCCAAAAAGATATTGACAAAAACTTGTATTTTTGTTCAAAATATCATCGGTTTGAAGAAAATCCAGAAGAACAAAACAAAAAATCTTTGCAATCTCAGCCACCATCAACGAATCTACCAGTGGTAAGTTTGCCTTTAAAGTGGTAGTTTACGTGCTTTTAAAAATCTTTCATCAGTCATTTTCCTCAATAAAAAAACAAAACAATAAAAATAAATTTCGTTTCGCTTTTTGCGACCCAATTGCAAAATTAAAGTGAAGGTAGCAGGTGTGGGACAATGATGAAAACGTCACTATTCACAGTCACAATTATCTACCGACATTTCGACCTATATTGGGGTCTTCTTCAAGGCTTCAATTATATGTGAACGTTCTAAGTAGGTTCATTAGTGTGGATGCATCGCCATGGCAAGGCACTCATTATTTTTGAAATTCATAATTAGATGGTCATAATCTCGGTCTGCAGTGTAGAATTAAACGGACTGTCTGCTTCAATGCCCGGACGCTTAAATTATGCAAACGAAGATTATGTAGACTTATTCCCAGATTCCCATTTGACATTCTATGAATATCCCCGAATGTGGAAAAAATATTCAGAGCATTGCAGGAATATACATGGGTGAGTATTCCTAAAATGAATGTTACAGAGTTACACAGTAGAATATACATATACAGGGTGGTTTTTTAGTGCGATATAGTCCATTATTTCCGATAGTGTTGAACTTTCGAAAAATAGTTTCATATAAAAGTTGTTGACGCACAAAGTGCTCACATTTAAAAAATATCTTATATGATAAAGAGTGTCTCAGAAAAGCGAGGCAAGATCAAAGTGTATTTTTTTAAATAGAACTACCCATTTTTCATTAGCTCATGGAATGCAGCTTGAAACGATGCATATGCACAGTAAATTGTTTTTTTCTTACTTGCGACGTTAGCAGATTATCGTCATTTCAGTAAAATTTTGCTTAAAAACATGGTATCTAAAAATTCATTGTAGAAGCAAAAAAAGGAGTTAGAGATACAAAAATACGTCTTTCCAATCACCACAGCTCCGTTAAGAATTCTATTAAAACAAAATATTAATACATTGTACAGGGTGTTAACAATGTGGGCTTCAATCTAAAACTTTTTAACGCAATATAACTTGTGTGACAATTTACAAAGTACCTGGCATCCCGTCACGTGGGAAACCCCCACGTTTTCCAGTAAATTTTGTGCGTTGTGTTGGACTTGGGTTTTTTTTTTGTGCGCATCCACTCGCCCAAAATGCAAGGACAGGGTCGCGATTCCCATTCCAGCAGAGAGACTCCGGAAATGCCCTCAGCTTGCAACTCGAGCGAATGGAGGTGGGATCTGTCTGTGTCTGAAGCCATAATGTTTCTATAACATTTAAGTCCGGGCTGCTTGAGAGCCACGACAAAACTTTGAAACTATGATCTCCAAAACACTTTTTGGTCAATTTAGCTGTGTAAAAAATTCAATTCGATTCGATTCGATGTCGAAGCACTGTCGATTTTTGGGAATTTCGCTTGGTAAACATTTCACTTGTTCTTTTTTTTCTCAACATGGCTAAATAGGAAACGCTGCAATAAAATTCTGCAGCAAAATCGTCTTATAAAAAGGCTGTCTTGGAAGAAAAACATTTTTGGAACAGGCGACTTTACACAAAATAACTCGTATTTTCAATATTGTAATCAATCATATAAAAGTATTAATAAAAAGTTTTCATTAAAAAAACATTGCTAATTTTCCCAATTTGGGAGTTCCGCCTTTAGGAACCTCCCGTAAGTGCAAAATAATATTGAACACGTAAACAAAATGTGACAAGAGTGTTTCAATTTCAATCAATTCAATTCAACTTGCATTATTATGGTGCGTCCAGACCTAAAGCGACGCGACCTCGGCGCGGTTACAATTGCCGCGCGACAGCTTCGAGAGCGCGATGAGAACGAGACAAGATGCCTCCTGCAGGTATTTCCTCAAAGCTGAATGTTTTTAGTGTGGCTGAATTTTGTGCAAAAGTATGTCGTATGTGAAGAAAGTGGTGCAAGATTATGCAGTGGCGCTTTGAAAATAGCTGAATACAGAAATAATAAAACCAACAGTGCAGGAGCTGTTAAGAAATCTCACTTTTCAGATCATCATTGAGCACTACAAAAACTTTACTGGAATGGCATCCACTGATTTTGAAAAAATATTTCAGAAACTTGGACCGGTAACATCTAAAACAACTTTCAGATTGTTAGCAACCGAATATTCCTATACTAGTCTGCTACCATTACGGATTAATTCAGCAATCTCAGTTTATGCATCAAATTTTTTAATTTTTTTATTTTTATTCTTTAATACAGTTGAGTCCGGATATAACAAACTTGAAAAATGAACTAAAACTGGTTCGTTATATGCGGAGTTCGCTATAAGCGAATAATAATACAAAAACACCTGGTGTATTTTATTTCGTTATTTTTACATAGAGTAGTAGGTATGACTAAAAAGAACACGAAAAGATAAACAAAATTCAATTTGAAATCTACTTCATAAAGTCTGTAATTTTTGTTTGTACATCTGCTGCAAAAATAGATGTTATTTATGTAATTTCCAAGATCACAAAAGGATTCCCAGATATGATTAGGAACTTGCGTGATTGTAGAAAATTCCGAGTTTCTGACACTTTTTTTGTCATTTCAGAAATGGTTGGAACAGCATTAGTGTCTACAGTAGAATACGTTTCACCTAAATCGTCATCTTTCTCATTATCGCTTAAAGCTGTAGATGAGGTTACGGAGTCTATAATTTGCTCATCGGTCAACATTTCTCTTGCAAGAATGCCATTATTAATGCTCACATATTCGAAGAAATTGAAATCACTCAATTTGGTTTTAACTTGTTTTTCGACAATATTGGGACATCTTCCTCTGTGTCATACTCGTAGTCAGAGTCTTTATACTTTTCTAACCATTCGTTAAGTGGAATTTCATCGTCTGGTTCATAATAATTTTCTTTTCTTACAAATCCCCCATGTTTAAAGCAATTTGCAATGATTTTTCTGCTAACTTTTTGCCGAGCTCTATGAATGAAATTGGCTGCATCTAAGAGATTTATAGAAAATGTTTCATTTTTATCGATCGCCTCTAACGGTTTCATCAAAAGAATTTTTCACCGGCAGACTCTCCAACAATTTTTCCGCTACTGATATTATGCCTCTTCTTGAAACGCTCTTCCCAACTTTTAGAACAAGCAAACTCTTTGTTTTTGATTTTACTCCCTGTTTTGGAATGCCTTTATTTGGCACTCAAAGTGGACTGTATTTATTTTATAATTATAATGACGGCCACTGGGTGTTTTTTACTATACTTTATTTGTGCCTTTTTATAATCGAGTCTCTATCAACAACTACTTTTTTGCTTATAAACAACAACCGTTGCTACTGGTATCTCGAACTTCAATTATTTAAATTCTACTCTCAATTATTTTAACAGCACTAACGATTAACGATTCCTTAACACCCATTTCACTAGCATTTTCTTGCAAAACATTGCCACTTATGGGAACGTTTTCTTGTCTTTTTTGAGTAAACCACTTAATAAGTCACTTGTCAATCTTTTCATGTGCAGATAATTTTAACTTCCTACATCTAACATTTCTTTTGTCATACGCTGATAAAACGTTTTCTCTGCTTTTCCATATTGTTGCAACAGTAGACTTTCCAAGTGCTAATTCCTTACAAGCGTCACTCTGCTTTACTCCACTTTTTATTTTGTTAATAATCTCGTACTTTTCATTTAGTGAAAAAGCTTTGCGTTTTTGTCTTTCCATTCTAAAACTATTTACATACTTAACGCGGCAAAAAACAACAAGTCACTGCCTGTCTCTCGCTCTCACTAATATAAACAACTCCGCCCGATTCGTGTTGCTGAGCGTGGAAGTTCGTTATAAACGGAAATATACAACTAACCTAAAAAGTGATCGTTATATCCGGAAGTTCGTTATAAACAGATTCGCTAAAACCAGTAAAAAATACGTTGGTCTTTATAGACGACGTTTCAATTAAAGGAAAAAAGTTCGTTTTAACCGAAAGTTTACTATAACCGGGTTCATTATAAGCGGACTTTACTGTAATTCGGATGCTTTTGGTTTTAAATGTTAGGACGGGATTTATCAAATTTTATTAAGGTAGTTGACTTTCTCGCCCCACTGCATGGTTGGATTGTAAAATAAGACTGGCACGGCGTATTAAAAGATAAACTCGTCCCCGCTGTGTAGCGATTTACTTTGATCTGCCGTTGAAAGTCGCAACTACTACTATTTGAACATATTTATTATCAGCTAAGTTTACAAACTTCCTACTGCTACTTATCTACGGGTTCTTAAATCTAACATCGTTGGAGTGTCTAAC